CCTCTTCAACTGTGTTCACCTTTTAACTTCATACTTAATTCAATATATTTCCATATATTTTTGCAAGTGGTGCGCTAGATACTAACGATACAAAAATACACTATGAAAGTATTGCTAAATGATGTATTTTGGCCGTTCAGTAGTTTTACTCTGGATGAAACACGCTATCAGTTCAGAGGCTGCAACTGAGAAGGCCGGATTGGTTTGGAGGAGGGGGCAGAAGGCTTTGTTCACCTTTTCCATAGACTGCATTTTACACTTGAAAACTGCAGCCCCACACTCCTTTTAGCACCTGCCTCATCCCAGGAAGCAGTTACAAGTTTTGATTGTGTTGAAATGACACCGCACCCCACGGGTAACTTACATAAAAGCCAGAGTTCTGGGGAAGTTTAATTTGCATTCTGGGAATTATTTTTATTGATTCATTTATTTATTTATTAGATGTATACCCCGTCCTCCCCACCAAGGCAGGTTCAGAGCGGCTTACAGTAAAAGAGTTAAAATCATAAAAAACAATTCAAAGGTGCCTCTTCAACTCTGTTCACCTTTTAACTTCATACTTAACTCAATATATTTCCATATATTTTTGCAAGTGGTGCCCCCGATACTAACGATACAAAAATACACTATAAAAGTATTGCTAAATGATGTATTCTGGCCGTTTAGTAGTTTTACTCTGGATGAAACCCGCTATCAGTTCAGAGGACTGAGAAGGCCGGACTGGTTTGGAGGAGGGGGAGGAAGGATTGGTTCACCTTTTCCACAGACTGCATTTTACACTTGAAAACTGCAGCCCCACACTCCTTTTAGCACCTGCCTCACCCCAGGAAGCAGTTACAAGTTTTGATTGTGCTGAAATGACACCGCACCCCACGGGTAACTTACATAAAAGCCAGAGTTCTGGGGAAGTTTAATTTGCATTCTGGGAATTATTTTTATTGATTCATTCATTTGTTTATTAGATGTATACCCCGTCTTCCCCACCAAGCCAGGTTCAGAGCGGCTTACAGTAGAAGTTTAAAACAGTTAAAATCATAAAAAAACAATTGAAAGGTGGTATACATAGATATTGCTTATAAGATGGTGAAACATGATTTCCAAGTAATTACATACTCAGGTATCCGTCAGTTGTAATAATAGCTGATGGTGAAATTCCAAGGTAAGGCTCTAATTTTGTATCAGATGTTATATGTGGCTTCTCAATCGAATGCCTGGTGGAAGAGCTCCCTCTTACAGGCCCTGCGGGATTGTAGTAAACTCCGCAGGGCCCTGCTGTCCTCGCAGAGCTCATTCCACCAGCGCAGAGCCACCAGAGAAAAGGCCCTGGCCCTGGTCGTGGCCAGTCTGGCCTCTTTAGGGCCAGGGAGAGCCCGGAGATGTTGCGTCCCTGAGTGCAGCACTCTCCGGGGCACATGGGGGGAAAGGCGGTCCCTCAGGCATGCTGGCCCCTGGCCATAAAGGGCTTATCACAGGTTATACTAGAATAAACGTCCTGGAGAAGACAAAGAATGGAAATAAATCTGGCTAGAAGAACTTCAACTGGCACCTAAGCATGAGCTGCAGTGAGGAAGACGAAGTGTTAGAAACCACCCTTCTGCCTCCTCCATTAAGGGGCTGAGCGGACGGCTCGGTCTCACTCCACACTCCCTCCTGCCATGCTGCTCCCACTGACCCACAGGGCTCCACAAGGCCCCCCTGATCCCAGGAGTCAGCTTCCAGGGGTCAGAAAGAGCTACAGGGAGAAGGGGAAAGCAAAACTGGTCATCCTTGTGCGAACTGATTGCCGAATTCCAACCCCTTGTTAGGAATATCCCAACAGGTTAAAGGAAAGAAGATTTTGGTTTTTTTGGACCGATGAGATTCTACAGGAGGAAGGAGAAACAGATGGATTTCCCCCCTTCACTGACGGGAAGGCAGAGAGGGGCCGTGCTGGCCTTTTGGAAAGAAGGTGGCGGCAAAAGAGGACTTCCTTCCAAACCAGCGCAAACTGAAATTTGGTCGCTTTAGGACTATTATGCCCCCCCCTTTCTGGTTTGCTGGTATAAGGAAAACTTTTCTGTCAGTGACGGGAACTTCCTGCACTGTGGTTTGTCCTCTTACTTCCCCTGAGCAGGCAGGTCTACTCTAAATAGCTTGCAAAACACCCCTAGTAGTGGGCGGAAGGCCCTCCCCCCGCCCCCCTCTCCCGCGGCTTGCGGCTTGGCCAGGGGCTCCTGCTCCCCCCCTTAGAGAGCAAGCCCTAAGGAGGTCTAGTCAGAAGCTCAAGCAGGTCTCTTCAAAGGGGGCTTACTCCCATGAAAGTGGTGTTAGGATTGTACTGCTCGTCACCCACACCCTCCTCCACGCTCTCTTTTAACTCTCTTTTAACTCTCTTTTATCTCTCTCTCTCTCTCTCTCTCTCATTTTCCTGTTCCATACTCGGTCAAGGCTTCAAAAGCAGCGATAGCTTCAGGTCAGGGTTCCGCAGCTTCTGCAGAAAGGCAAAACAGGGAGCACTGCAATGAAAACGGTTCCAAGTTACTTACGGTGCAAAGTGTTTCAAAAGTCTTTTCAGAGACAAAGGATCCATCAAGGCCAAAAAGGAATATAGATGCATAGGAGAGCATCCCCCCGAGAATAATGAGATTGTTCATGTAGGGACTGGACATCTTGATCAATCTGGAGAGAGAAGACCAGAAAGCCGTCACTGTACAGGGCCGTCCACCGGGGCAACAGACAGGACGTCCACAATGCAACAGGCAGGGCTCCACAGAGCAGGCGGTGCCAAGAAGACTTGCAGCCCAATCCTATGAAGGGCTACTCCCATTTAAGCCCATTGAAACCAGTGGGCTTAGACTGGAGCGGCTCTTCACAGGGACTGCACTGCTAGTGCATGGGGAAAAATCAGCAAAAATAGGACACACACAAAGACAGGTGGATCAAAGATCCCCAGTGACAGAAAATTAATGTACAGAAACACGCAAATATGTTAATCATATTGGAAAATAACTATATATGTAACAATGGAAGGTAAAGGTATAGGTTTCCCGTTGCTCGAAAGCCAGTCAAATCCGACTCTAGGGTTGCGGTGCTCATCTCCGTTTCCAAGCCGAAGAGCCAGCGCTGTCCGAAGACGTTTCCGTGGTCATGTGGCCGGCATGACTAAACGCCAAGGCGTACAGAACGCTGTTACCTTCCCACCAAAGTGGTACCTATTTATCAACTTGCAATTTCTTGCTTTCGAACTGCTAAGTTGGCAGGAGCTGGAACTAGAGACGGGGATGGTGAAATTCCGTCATGCGGCACACTCGGGTCTCGAACTGCTGAACTACTGACCTTCCACAGCCTGCAGTTCAGCATCTTAACCACTTGAGCCACCACAGCTCCATTAACAATGGAAACAGAGTATCAAATAGTCAGTTTTGTACTGTGTACAAGTACAACCAATCTGTTTTAAAAATTGACTGTATTTTTTACAGAGGAAATGAAGTTCATTCATGGTTTGAAACTCAGACTTATACATATTGGAGCGGAAATTCATGGCCTATGAGAAAAATTACTGGTATAAGAAAATGAGAGGGAAGGACAGAATCCATATCAGAAACAGGGAATCGACGGAAGTTCCCTGGACGATGTGCAAGACCTTTATTTGGTGGGTGTTCCACCTGAGAACACCCGACACTCTCAAATGGCTGTTGAGAACAATCTGAAAATGAACGATTTTATGCAAGATTGTTGAATTTAAGCAAAGTAACTGTATGTACAGAATTCAAGAAATATGCAAATCTATGGCCTGCTATATAAAGAAGTTTAGATCAGCATTAAATGTCTTTAATCTCCTACACTAAAGCAATTATTTATGTTACACAGCAGTTTAATTAGCTGAGGATTCATAGAGTGGGGAAAACCCCCAGGTTGTTTGCCTGTAGTTGATGATCTTTCCGTTGCCATCTGTGCAGTCACACACTTGGGTTAAGACCTGTGCGCACACCCATCCTCGGAGGATATCAGAGCTAGCCTCGAACTTTTTGGGGGGGGCATGATTTCCCCCCCTTCTCTGGGGAGCAGGCACTGACTGCACATGCCCTGGAGGTGGGGAGAAAGCACCCTCCCACTCAGTCCCATCAGCTATAGGTAAATGAACGAGAGATGCCAGATGTGGGGAAGGGTGGGTGGGTGGGTGGGTGTGACTGCACGGATGACCACTCAGACATCTTCAGTGACAGGCAAGCAACCTTTTAATCTGCTTCCTGGTCTCTGTGCAGGCCACACACTTGGGTGAGTCGTGAGCTGCAATGGAACAGGACAGTGGCTAGGAGGACCCAGGCATCTGCAGTGATTGCACCCCAAGTTGGAAGGTAAGGACACAGCCTGGTACCCACGGGCAGGGTGACGGTGGGAGAGGGGGGCACTGTAAGATGGAGTGAGCCAAAGAGGCCGCTTGGGTTGTTGTGTGGACCTCTTACCAAATGAAGGCTTGTGCTTGGGCTGGTATGACTGCTTAGGAGGGATGAACTTTTCCCTTCAAGTGAGTCAAAGTTCGATGCTTGCAGGGAGCACTGATACTTGGGGTAGGTGGTCCTCCAGTGCCTGGATCTGATTTCCTCCAAGTTAGTCAAAGTTCGATGCTTGCAGGGAGCACTGATACTTGGGGTAGGTGGTCCTCCAGTGCCTGGATCTGAGCTGGCGCTGGGCACGTGGCTGATGGACCCCGAGGTTCCTAGCGCACTTCATGCTGTCAACCATGGTGGATAGGGCGTCATTAGTGGAGGCATGGAACAGGCCCTCACCATCAAAAGGCAGATCTTCTGCCTTGGCTTTGACGTCAGGCTGGAGAGAAGCAGACCAGAGCCAGGCATGCTGGCCAAAGGCAATAGCTGTGGCTAGAGACCCTGCAAATCTTCACTGCCATAGAAGTGGCTCCTTGCGGGAAGGGCGAAGGCAAGTCCAGAATCAAGGGTACGGACTGGCTGGCTAGATGGAAACTGTAAGCCGCCAAATTGGAGAGATAATTATGCATTTTTGACACGATGGTAGTCAAGGAATATATTTTCCTGCCCAATGCATCTATTTTCCTCTCTTCCTGATCAGGGCCTGAAGGGCCTCTGCCATACGCCAAATGAGCTCAACTTGATGGGCAACTTCAGAGGATTTGTAGAGTGCATCACCCTTGTACGAATCTGAGTCGTTGGTATTGACATTAGATGGTTCAGAGGAAGAAGTCTGTACATCTCCAGACAGCGGGTACGGGACAGGTGTGTGGACTGGGTCCATAGTCTCTTGGAGGGAATGGTCAGGAGCAGGTTCCAAACCCGAGGTTAGAGCTGCAGGGTTGCACGGGGGGGCCAGGCCAGACAGAGGATCCACAACATGGCTCCTGTGTTGGCGAGACGGTCTCGAACCTGATGGTTGGGAGGATTGAGAGGCCCTAGAGTATCGACGTGGGAAACTACTGAGCAGGTGGGGGATGGCCCGGGAGCCACCTGGGCAAGCAATGGGGCCACTGTTTCCTCTACCATCACTGCTACTTTTGGGGATAGGGAGGACCCCCCCACACACACATTCACCTATCTCGAAAGATTCAGGAGTGGTTCCTAGGTGGATTTTTTGCTAAAACCCAAGGCAGAGGACGGTCCTCAAAAAGGGACAGGTAGGGTGGAAAAAAGGATGAGGCAGATTAGACGTTTACTAATTGGTTGACCGTCTATTCGGTCTTAATGGAGGTACAGTCATGTCTGCCTATCCAACAACCACCTGGGCAATGTCTTGCGGGCACAGGCACTGGTGGGCAAAAGGGCTGCAAAATGCGATGAGGCATTTTGTGGGTGAGCGTCTCTCAACAAAAAGCCCAGATGAGACCTTATTTTTTCTTTTTCTTTTTAGTGTTTGTCTGTGTGCGCACATGCTTGCATGCCTGGAAGTCATGGTGGCTTCTGGCAACCCCTGCTGGGGCTCGGACACTTCCAGAGAGGTGGCTTTGCCATTGCCTGCCTCTGAGTCCTAAAGCCCAGATGAGACCTTATTTTTTCTTTCTTTCTTTTTAGCATTTGTCTGTGTGCGCACATGTGCTTGCATGCCCGGGAGTCATGGTGGCTCCTGGCAACCCCTGCTGGGTCTCGGACACTTTCGGAGAGGTGGCTTTCACGTTGCCTGCCTCTGAGTCCTGAGCCCGGGTCTTCCTCGGAGGCCTCCCTTCCAAGCACTCATCAGGGTCGGCCTGCTGAGCTTCCGAGAGCTGACGAGATCGGGCTTGCCCTCTGGGCTATCCAGGTCAGGGCAGATGGAACCCTACTAATGACAAACTGCGGTTATTAGTGGTCAGCCCGTACATCCAGGGCAATCAGACCTGACCCGTCCCACAAGGTATGCTGGGAGTTCAATCAGGAGAAGTGCCAGAGGGCGCACTGTTAATTTGGACACAGTTGCATGCTGTACTTGGGCCTCCATCCCAAACGGTCCTGCTCCCGTTTCCTGCTGGCCAGCAGTCCTTTCAAGGCATTTGGCCCTCCTCGAATATCGCCACAGGCAAGGTGGGCGGACGCAGCGGCTCTTCAGCATCCAATACCAACAGAAGGGAATGAGCAACCCAGTTGGGGGGCACGGGGGGGGCTGGCCACCCCCCCGTTAGGCTTCATGCCCTTACTTGACCTCTGTCCCTTTTGGGCAGCAGCCAGTTACCTTTGAGACAGTTTCACCTATCACTTTTAGATATCTTTTACCGGCCGGCCTGTCTACACAGATTCCGGCAACTCAAAATCAGCCAGGGAAATGTTGGATGTTGCCACAGCGGCCACATAGCGCCCATTATTTAGATGCCACAAGGCATCTTGCAGCCCTTCAGTCGTTCGCAGCAGAACTGGGGCTACCACTGGCACAGGAAAAGACAGACGGCCTGACCACTCAACTGGATTCGGTAGCTGGGCTGTCCCATCTTCCGGAGGACAAGCTTTTGGCCCTTAAAGCTCTCATCACCCAGGTCCTGGCTCACCCAAAGTATACTCTGAAGGAGCTTCAGTCACTCACTGGGCATTTGAATTTCACTTGCCGGGTGGTTTCCCAGGGTCGGGCCTCATGTGTACTCCTAGCACAGCCTACAGCAGGGGCCCCTTATCACCATGCAAGGTTGATTTGGGGCATGAGAAAGGACCTCAAGGTATGCTTGGTCTTTTTAGCACACCGTAACAGGGTTACCATTTGCCAGGAACCGCCATACTTGGGCAGTAGCATTTAGGTCCAGTCTGAGGCCACAGGCAGCATTGGCTATGGTGTATACTACAATGGGTGCTGACGCACATAGCCTTGGCCACTGCTATGGGTGGAATCTGGTATCTTACGTGATCTCACCTTCTCAGAGCTGTTTCCAGTTCTCATGGCAGGAGGCATTTGGGGGGAGCAGTTCAGGAACAGGAGGGTCCAGTTCTGGTGCAACCACCAGGCTGTGGTGTGGGTTATTAACAAGCAGGCATCATGCTTAGAGCACGTCATGCACTCGGTACTCAGATTTGTTCTGGTTTGTTTCTCTGCTAATATAACGTTTTCACTGCAGCACGTCACAGGTGTCGATAACAACATGGTGGATGCCTTGTCTTGCCTTCAGGAGGAGAGGTTCTGCGGTCTGGCACTGGAGGACAACCGTTACCGGCATCCATTCCCGAAAGAACTCTGGGCACTTGGGAATGTGCCACGATGGAGGGAGCACTTAGCCCAGTTGTGCCATCCACCCTGCATTCCTACTCTTCCACAGCCTCATCCTTCCTGGCCTTTTGGACCCACGTTGGGGGGAAGGGGAGCCTTACACCTGGCCAATGCCAGAGGTGTTAGTCCTCCAGTATTTGGCTTCGCCCCCAGGACCCTGCCTGGGCATACGGTGGCCATCTCTTTCCTTAGTAAGGACCAGAGCACCCAACCCCACAGACCCATCACTTTTTACATTCTAGCTTGGCTTATCTGGCCGGCTTCCAAAGCCACGCTCTTCAAAGCGACATTTACCTTAGGATTCTTTGGTGCTCTCAGGGTGGGGGGAGCGGGTGACCAGCTGCAGGGATGACAGATCCGATAGGACCCTCAGGGTGTGCGACTGGCCGGTCCAGGGATCCCAGGTCTGCTTAGTTATCAGATGGTCTAAAATGGACCAAAATGGACAGGGCACATGACTTCTTCTCCACTTGCTGCCAGAGTCCAGCCCATGCCCTGTCCT